CCAAAAAAACCCTCAAGTTTTCATTTAGAATCGAGTTTCAAGACATTTTCATTGCATAACAGAAGTTATCTGTATTTCTTTGCAACCCAAGAACCACAATTCGAGAAAAACGAGTCACTTAACAATGAAGATATGGATGAATCGACATTCAAAATTACAGCTTTATAGAAAGCTCAATACACAGTTTGAAGCGAACTTGACGCCTTTGCCGATATAAAAGTCGAGGCAAGAGACAAAAGGACAAAACATGCATAGACATTTACAGGGTTCGATTCTACAAAAAATTAAATAAAAAAAAAAGTTAAAAACGAATAAAATATCGAGTTAGAGTATTAATTTAAGAGGATAAACCCGATTGGCATATTTAAGTCAACAAATATTACCAAACAACAATTAAAAATCTGGCGAATGCTACAATCATTCAATGTAAATTTACTTTGAAATCAAAATTACAAATGGCCATTTCCAAACTCCCACTGAAGATACTTTTCAATGTTAGCAGAGATTAGCACTAACACAAATATTCTCAATTTCCTTCATTTGTGTATTATTAACACCAATCACAATTAAAACCTGTTTTATAGGATATGTCTTCCTCAAGTTAATTTGTCATGATCCACTCGGTACAATATCATGTCCAATATAGCAAGTCCTCTTGTACGGGGAATTCGAAGCAATTAAAGAAGGTATTTCATTACGGACATTTCGGCACCAATCCATGTTGCCTGCCTGGTAGGGATACAAGCCGGATGCTTTATGAAAAATGTAATAACAAAATATTATCCGGCCAACTACTGTTCACATTCGTTTAATGAACCAAATGAGCATTTGAAAACGTGCTGCTTTTAAACCGCGACACCGACGATGTATTTTATTACTATTTCGTTTAACTAGACACAAACAAGACCATCACTTTAAAAATTAAAAATAACACAACAACGGCCTGGATTCACCAATGCTTTGTCTTAACATTTTCTGAAAAGGTATACATTAGTTCCAACTCTCTAAGTGATCCATTGAAAATATCTGTTACTAAGAAACTAAATTATTTTTGTGCAGACAGGGAAAAGGGCAACCGAAATTTTGTTATCATCATATATCATTTGTTATCCGACTTATCAAGATCAAGATTTTGTGTCAATTGCATGGTTGTTTCCAGTTCATAATATCATCAACATTTTTTTATATATTTGGCTATTAACTACATTCTATGTAATTAGGGTCGTTATTATTATAATTATGTCGTTAAATATATGCAACAGATAAACCCAATTCATGTGCCTTCTTGCAATCGTCGCAGTTAGAAACTATTCAGCTCCGTTTCTCACAACGATGCACATTATAAAGTAAATTAGATAAACTTCTTTATAGTCTTCATACACAACGTGGTTAACGCGTGGCAGTTCTACCGATTGTCGAATAGATATTTAACTCTACAATTCCACAATGCCTTGATTATGTTCAATTTACAAATATAATAAGAAGTAACTTCACTCTAATACCATCTTCTCTGCAAATCCTTAATAAAATGTAATGAAAATAATCTAATTAAATCCCAACCAATTTTCAGGTTTTAAGCAATTTCAATTAGCGATTTTCAAATGGTTGATTATATGTTCTGGTACTTTGCTTTAATAAGTTGCAATTGATTTGCATATTCCTGGCAAACATTCTGATAGCAGTGAGCACATTGAAACGAAAAATGAAATCCAGAGTTATAAACCCTGTAACTAATTGGCCAGCGAAGTAAATGCTTAGTTGCACCAATTCAGCAGTTTCCGTTCATAAGTACCAATTGTAATCTTAGCATAAGTTCAGTTATAAGTTATCAGTTGTCACAAGTACACTATTGCTGTAACTCGTCGTTCTGAAAATAAATCTTTTTTRAAAGGCTTTCCCTTGATTGAAGAATTTAACTCCACCAAGTTCAAATGCAAAATTCAATCAATCCCTATTACATCCCCAAAAAGCAACACTAGTACAAGAAGACGATTTGTCTAGCTGGTGTAAAGACATGCATTTACTACTATTCGCTGATATCTATATCTGAAAGCACTTCCTTTATAATTAAACATATAATTAATATTAGTTCTTGAAACGGGTACTCGTGATCAAACAGATTAATTTATTTCATACACTTCAACAGTTTTGTATGCTGTAGGTTGATATTTATCGTTAATACGCCCGATTTATCACCATTAATTAAATTACATCTTTTTTACTGCGCACGAAAGCATATTATCTTTCTCGCCATTTCTTCGTCGCGTTAACAACTTAAAAATCACTCAACCGCCTACGAAAACCTAAAATATAAATTGGACTGTTCATCAAATTGAAGGTCCATTAACTAATTTTTGCGACGCCAAAAAGGCGTTAAGGAACTCGTTTACTTTACACCTTGTCGCGTTAAAAATTCGGTGACACCTGTAGACTTCGCAAACTGATTTATAAGTTTAATGGGCCGGTTATAAAACAGAGTTCAAAAAACTTGCGGCAGCCAAAATTCGATATCAGTTAATTTTGATACAGCTTCAACAAAAAAAAGTTTGTTTTCTTTATGTTTACATTTACTAATAGTGGCAAACAATCCAGCACAACATGAAAACATGTCTTCAACTCTCTAAGAACTTACTCAGGCATGAGTAAAAAGTTCGTAAGTATTGAACAAATGTTCACTTTTCTATGTGCGCTCTCTGTATCTTTCGGATCAAAAGCAATTTTTCACGATTGGGATCATACACTTGGAAAATCGTCTTCATAATAAAACAACTCACTTGTGGCGAAGCTGGATGAGAGCAAATTTAACAAGAACCGACTAGTTCATTTATTATTTGTTATCATATTAAAAAGCAAATAGAGTTGTCAGTCACACCCTCACAGCCAAAAAAAGAAGCTAAAATATTTCCTCGTGCTTAGATCCATTTACAGCTCACTTTGCGAAATTTCAAAATCTCAGGCCCATAAATATCCAACGAAGCTCGGCACACGGCCATAAATTTTCCTTTCCAACAAATGATGTGTTAAGACTTAATAAGCATGTTGTTTATTAATAATTTCTAAATTCGCCTTATGTGCACTTCGCTAGTGGCGAAAATATTCCCGATTTTTCATCTGCTTGAACGGCTTATATGGTATCGGTTTTAGATTTAGTGATTCTGGGTACCGCCTACAGTTGGTTAGATGGTTTGCAAGTGATTCGATATGAATGTTAGGACGACTGAATTATATTCTCAAACGGAATCAGCTATTAAGCATATAAGGCAAATTTCCTTTCTAGAATCCGATAAGTGACCCTTGTTCAGTGTCTGTTGGTACGTGCAATCATAACATAGCATGAAAGTTATCCGTTTCATATAAAAGTTGCCTCCTTCCTTCGCACCATCTGTGACATGAATCTCCAGATTATTCCTTAGTTCAGTAACATCTAATATTTATTGTGTTATTGCAGGCCTCCCTGGAAGTATTTGTTTTCTTTAACCGTGCTTGTGTCTGGTATATTTAAATCGAGTCAGTCTTTTAAAATCTGACAGGAAACTATAAAGGGTTTCGACAAACGGAACTCTGAAACTGTCAAGTTGCTCGTGCTCATTGGATTTTACTGCTGGAACATCAAATGCATTCCGATCAAATGTTGGGAAATCGTTTTAGCACCAGGCCTAATAGAAAAACATCATTATCGGGTAAATGATGATTATGTAAATTTGGTGTTGAACGGCCCGATAAATATGCGGCCCATTTCGTAGAAAAATTACTGATAAATGATCAAGAAGAGAGAAGAGAAAGAGCTTTGCTTTACTGCAAGGTGACTAGGGCTTTAAAACTAACCTGATTTGATTGCAAAAGAAATGCATTTGCAATTTGTTTCAAAGCAATTTAAGGTTTTTCGATAATAATGGGTGTCCAGTCTATGAGATGCACAAATATATTTGCACGGTTTTCACACGAATCCGTAATCTATAGAGTAATTAACGATTATTTTATGGCACTTAAGTGTCCACAAAAGAAAAGAACGTCAAACAATTCAGGTTCTTTATCTCCTCAAGTACCTATGTATATAAATTTTAAATGTATTAATAAGATTCACACTTGAACATATGTCCGAAGTTCTTCCGCTTTCCTCGGAAGAACGATCTTCACACTTTTTCTCTTTACAAAAATGAAATGCATTTAAATCCACAGCCTTCGCACATTTAACATTTATTTGCATGTACCTAATTGAGTGCGGTTTCTGCTGCAATTTATTACAATAAAATTATGCTCACTTTTCGTACCACTGTCAAGACAATGGAAGCTGGTGCTTTATATCGGAAGTGTTCGCCGATTACTAACCATAATTGAAATATTTAATGTAGCGCAATAAGCGTCAAGTAATTTAATAAATTACATCTACATGAACCGCAGTAATAATGCTGAAACAATCAAGCAATATCAACGAATAAATGGATGTTATTATGTGGAACAACAGTTTAAATGCGTCAATTTTATATAAAATACTATGTAGTACAACACTTTGGTAGGTTCTAAAAAGTGCCACCTAGGGTTATAATAACAAATGTTTCAAATTTGCACAAACATTTTTGTTGTTAATTGAGTTTATTGTGAACCAGCCCACTTGCCCAGTAAGCACGTCTCTGGAAATACTGTTGCAATTGAAACCGTCGCAATTTAAGTAATTTATGTAATTCAATTAAGGAAATCATCACATATTAGGGACAAAACACATCAAGAAAACTATTAGTTATCTTGATGAAAATCTTGAAAACCAATAAATTACTAAAATTGGAAAATCTTCCTGTAAATAGTTTTAAAAAGCTTTCCTTTTCAAATGTATTATTGTGCATAATCAACTTGATTTTCCAAATACTTTTACTTAATTTGTTTATGGTATAAAAACTGCCCAAAAAAGCAATAAAATCTAATAAAACATAATCTGACTAAATTAATTGCCTTAACCAGTATTAATAAAATGACAGGATCCAATTTAGTTGTTCATCTTTCCATTTAAAACGTGGCATATTCTGGCACTTAGTAATCTAAAATTGAACAAAATTTGTGATAATCCCATTCTCCGATGGAATTAATTAACCAGATTCGGTGGCAAAAACTAAAACAATAATGGTAGGCAATAAAAGGCACTCATCAAGATTAAAGGCTGGAATATTAAAACAGAACGCAGAAAACCACAGCTGCATTATTCAACTTAATGTTGTATTTCGTACGGTTATATTGTTATTCATTATTTACGATGTAAACCGGATACAGCCCATAATGTGCTCAGCTTTTCCAGTATTTAGAACATAAAGTTCCTAATTTATGTCCAATTTCTAATTACCACAACTTACAAAAAAACCCAGGTATGTATTTTCAATAATAATTAAAATATTTAACGTTATATTTCGTTATCTTTCCCAGAGTTACAGTTGATTTCAGTAGTCAATAATGAACGAACATCCATGCACTCGCTTACTTATTATACTATAGATATAGTTTGGTCTTCTGATCTGATTTTAATTGATATATTAATTAGCTTTTTTGTAATCATAACACCGTCATTGTTATGCATTTTAGGATCATAATTCGAATAATGATATAAGAAATCTGATCAATCGAAACAAATTTTCACAGTCTCTTAGAGTTGCCTAGTAAAAAAAACGCTTTAAAAAAGTGCATTCTACAGATAGCGGTTTTAACATAGCATGAATATGTAAAATTCTGAAAGTTAAAGACAATAGAGCAAAATAGTCTACAATTAACATACTAATATCATTAAGGGTCAAAGACTAACTCCAACAAAAATTGATTTAGTGAAACAAGAAATGTTAATATCCCCTGCTAATCTAATCTTGTTCACTCTTGTTCACGTTAGGTGTTCCGGAATGTTGAACAATCAAAAAGAAAAATGGCCCCATTCGCATCATACATTCGTGAAATAAGTGAGCAGTCTCTCCATTTCATTAAAATAAAAACAATGCAAACGTATTTACAGAAAACGGGCCAACAAAAGAGCGTCAGTCTGTTCCCTGTTTTCAACTCCGAAAAACAATAAACTGATGAAATCTCGACCCCACTTTTTTTTTAATTTACTTAACTTTTAAACCGCACAGTGAAATAAAACATTTAGGGAGGTTAATGGAGAGAGAAAGAGACGGCACATCAGATTTGAATGCTCATCATCTTTTAATAATGCAAAGCGCTTTTTTTCGCATGATAAACAGAAAATAATGATTTCGGGAAGTTTATGTTTTCAACGCGAATGAACTGTGACTTTTTGGCCTGTTGAACTATTGGCAGCCAATCAATCGATAAATTAATTATCATAGAGTAATAATAGAACAATGTGAATCCCCACCAAGCATTCATTACTTTAGCAAATACAATAATGCCTAATGAGCAACATTTATTCGACAAACTCGGGGCCATAACAATGGAAATACCGATCGAAAGCTAAAAACTGACACAATATGATGGAAAATAATAATATAAGGCTTCGTCGAAATGGTGTTCAACCTCGACAGCTATGTCGAACAATATTAGAGACAACATCAGACATGGAGGCATTATCGGCATTCGCTTTACAACATCTGCTTTAAGATTTAATTAATGTAGTGGTCCGGCTTTGTCAATGCTTTTTGCCATGCCCAAAAAATCTGACGGCAAAACTGCTTTTTTGCTAGCCCCATGTGCTATGGAACATTACTATTAGTACGTTCGGCATCTATAAAATGTCAATAAAAACCCGCCAGGAAGATGAAATTGAGTTAATTTTCGCAAATGGAGAGACGTGTGAAATTAGAAAATATGTAATGTCTTCGATTTCATGAGTTTCCATAACTTTTTACTCATTGAAAGTTAATAATGCTTGAAATGTATAACAATGTCGACTAAGTACAAAGTATACTTTATATTTTTCTATAGTTGCCTTTAGCTAAAGACTGCAATTTATCCAAGCTGCCTTTCAGTGATTTTTTTAAAATATTGAGTCGTCGAAGGATCAAACACTCTATCACCAATTTTTGGATATCTACAAGCAAGATTTGCACTTTCCGTCTTTTTTTCATTTCTATCTATTCTTATTATCTGCCATTTTGGGTCAGATTTCATATAGCAAACGAACACTCCGACAATTACCAACATTTTCAATTAATTAAAGAACCTAAAGTGCCTCTAATCCATAAGTCCATAAACAAATATTTTATTCCGAATTGATAGTATTACAGAGGACTCTTTGGACATTTTATTTTCCAAAAAAGACTAACATTTGCAAATAATTAAATAAATTAAACTTTGATTATCAAAATTGTTGATCTTTCTGGTTATTATATTCACTGACTTTTAAGTGACTACCGCCATTCAACTTCAAAATCAAGCCGAATATTTGCGGTGTATATCAATCAAAATTCATGTATGCAAAATTAATTTAAGCCTGCTCGAAATCCGGCAATTCGTACACAACCGAAAGAAAGGATGCGCGTCCCACAAGACAAACATTGAAATATTCCGATAATATCCCAAGAATGCGATCCGATGCCTCATTATGCAAATCTCAGCTTATACAGGATGTTGTATCTCGCCGGCGGTAATTGGCCCTTTTTAATAAGTTTTAATGTGTGTAATATGTCGATTTTATTGATTCTACAACTTATACGTGACATACACTTTTTCATGGATTGTGCAGAATTTAATTGGGTGTTGGGAAAACACCTAATAGAAGCGGTGACAGTGAAAAACGGCCGCAAGACGGATAAGGGCAATGTTGCTGGGCAAAGTGTATTGTATGCTCACCTGGCTTTAATTAAAGAACTTTCCTTCTAATCGATGAAAAATGATGGACTTATACAAAAAAATACAAACACCTGTTCATCAATGCACATTTATCACAGTTACATTCGCGCATATAAAACTAAAAACCTATATATCATGGTAATCCTGAAGAAATCAGCTTCTTTCTTGGCAAAAGACATTTGCAAAAAAGCAATCAGAAATCGGACTAAATTAAAAAATGAAATAGGATTTGATAGTGTGACGTCCATATGTAGCCATTAAAATCATTATATCAACTTCAATCGAAAAGAAGAGACCACCAATATTCCTATAGAATAAAGTTTTTGCCTAATGAGTCGGCAGATTTGATTGATATGTTTTTAATTCAATCATTCCAAAAGCCCACTCATTCTGCTAGAGAGAAGAATTCATCTATTTCGCACGATAATCTTATTTAACTTGTGTGACTTCGCGTAAATGATGTATTCAAACTATTAAACTTGTCATTATGGTTATAAAGGCTTTATATTTTATTCTTCGCTCAGAATTGAGAGTGTGTCAGATAAGAAATAAACAATAATATCCGAGCAAATCACAAAGTTCACTCTTATACGCTGCAAATCAAAGTATATTAAATCCAACGTCCCGCCACCAAAGTGTAGTTATCCAAAAAAACATATTTCGAAAAAAAGGCTATTCAGGCGGCCACTCAGATAAATGTAACTTTCACATAACGAAACTTTTATTCAATCAAGAAGAAAAAACCTGTCCAATATCCAATATTTAATTTAGCACTTCATTTACAGTGATTTGAGGCAAGCAAGGTGACAATCAGAAAAAACTAAACCGGCACCGCATTCTCGTGCTTAACAATCAAAGCTAATATAAAGTGATAATGCGGTGTATAAGAAAAATACCACAAGAGTGATCAATATAAGAGAAGCTCTTTATTCGACTATGGAAAAGTTTTGAGGACTTTAAGATTTTATTACTTTCTTTCCTAGAGATTACTTGGGTATAGTTTTTCTTGCGTGAATACAAAATCCGTTTAGTTCATCAGTTCATTGACAAATAAAAAATAAGTATTATTACACTCAGCTAAAACGAACCACATTAAATAGCTTCTTTATCAACAATTCATGGAATTAATGAAAATCAACAAATTACAAAATATTTTGCCACTTAATATATATCTCTTAACATGGCACATTTTCTCTTCTAAATCCTCATTCTATAGAGAAATTTGTTATCTTTAGAATCATGGATTATGTCTCGATGGGAGCTTATATTGAAATTTTAAGGTGACGATTGAAATTAAACATGTCAAATAACTTTTCTGTCCTTATATTTTGTTTAATTCTTTAAATTTATAGGATATCAAAAGTGGTTCGTTTTCAATTGAACCCCCTCATGTAGTATCATAGTACAAATTATGTACAACGTTGTGGCTGCTCAAATGTTTTAAGAGAATTTAAACGCGGTCAGATTATTTTATATCACGTTTATGATAAATCAATGTTGCTTTAAGTGATAAACCCAGTTTTGTCTGAAGTAAATAAATGATGCATTTCCTGCATTAATGCCGCTCAATAACAGGCACAATAATCATCAGTAAAGAAGAACTACTAAACATATAGAAATTAAAGAAACTTTTGTGAACACCAACTTCTGAAATTATGCATGCTGTTTAAGCCACGTATTATCATATCTTCAATTGTGATAATGATACTTTCTCAACATTATCTGTCAGATAAAATTAATCTAGGTCTTAGTGGCACCTAAAGTTTAATGTTTTTTTGAAGTTTTTGAAGAAATTTTCCGTTCAATAACTTTATTTCAAGATAAAAATGTACATTTTTAATGATTGATGAGTGACTTACTAATGAGAGTTTTATTTAGTTGTGACGCAGATACTGTGGAAAGATACAAAACATGACGAAAAATACAGCAACTGTTATTTCTTAGAATAGCTATAGATGAAAAATAAAACAGCTTCTTTGGGCAAAATGTCGAGTTTCCTGACAATAAGGCAACAATTGAAGCACATGCAGCCGTGAAAAATAGTACAATTTGGTGCAAATTATTAGAAAATAGAACTTGTTTTTAATATAAAATATACACTTCTGATTATATAAGCCTTGGCTTTGTTGCGTTCAAATAGGCAATGTTGAACGAACATAGAGTTTTTAAAATATGACAATCTGTAATTAACAAGTATACAGTAATAATGAATCTTTGACCAGTTTACTTCCAGACCTGAATTTGAATGTTTGGTATCTGCTTGGGTTTGTAGTAAATTAAATTTACGACTTGTTTCGGATATAATAGGCAATCGGGCATGAAAAAAGCGAATGTCTTTTAGATATACAGCTGCTGCGAATGAAAGGCATGATTCTTCAAAAGAAAGGTTTATGAAGATTTTCAGGCAAACACGATTAACTGAATATATCGCAAAAAACTGACTTTTGAAAACAAGGATGCATTAAATTTGATGTTGACTCAAGATTGCTAAAAAAAAGGTGTAGGAAAGAGTGGGAATTTATTGCTGGCTCCATCTAATGTTACGGGAATGGTAAATTCAAGTTTTCTGTATTTTACGGCTTCAATAAAAGCCCATAAAAAGCACCTCAAGTGATTTCAGTCTATCTCAGCTGGTATTACGAGGACCATGTTATCTCCACTACAGCCCATCACCTTCAATTTGACATAGTTCGTCTCACTTATCGTCGCAGGAAGGCGCTTAATATTAACTTGTTAAACGTGACTAAATGACCCATAAACATGAAATTCTATTAAGCTAGTAAGGCGAACAAGATTCTATTCCCCGGTTTTCGCTGATACAACACCTTCTTCAAGGTGAAAGAATAATGTATCATCGACGGTTGGGTCGAGGTCAGGGACCCGGCTGGCTTAGCAGTAACCACTGCCGATCAGGACCAGCCAAATCTTGTCCTTGCACCGCCAGTAGGTACTGAAGTCGCAACAAAGAATTCCATCCGAGACCGGCGAAGATACAGGAAATGTTCGGAATGTGTTCGATGTTCTTGGACAAAGCAATATTAATTTTATCATAATGCTGTATGAAAAAGTTGCATCTACAGTGTCCACACCATTAGTGCAGAGCAATAATTGCTACGGTCAATATTTGCAGGCCGTTGTATGAAACAATCGCTTACATCTTTGCTGAGTCCATTTAGAATAGAAAAATCAATCACGCAATTGGTTAGTAGCTGATTTTTGAGTAGAGCACCTTAAGTTCGCTATTGAAAGAGTGCCTACCTAAAAGTTATTTTTTTCAC